AACCAATTTTCTTGCCTTTTTTTTATATAATTTTTACGACTTTTCAATCCATTCGTTTGACTTTTTTGGCAACATTTCGATTTTCCATGATTCATCGCTCGGGCAACTTTACACCAAAACACAATAATGAGGTGCAATTGGCGATTACAAACCTTATTTAAAATAAAACATAAATCCTAAGCAAATCCAAGTTAAATTTCCTTTAGTGTTGGGAATGCACCAAATGAATGTACTTGTTTAAAAACGTAACATTACGTTTTTTTCTGTAAACAGTGATTTGCTAACACGAATTAAAGAAAACGCAGACAAAGTTTACAGAACCGTTTGTTGAACACAGTATAGAGTTATCGTGTCCTTTATTCGCTTCAGTAATTCATTCTACGAATGCCCATAAGTAGCATATATAACATGTTGTACCATTTTGTTTTTCTAACAAACTACACTATAATATTAGCACAGAAAATATTTACTTAGAGAAGAATAAATTCAGTTAATGAGCACAATATAAACAATGCCAAGAATGCAATCTACTGTATGCTATTAGTCAATGCATAGTTCAACATTCCGACTCCCAATTTTTCTTGCTTTCAGGTTTTCCTCATAATTCTCAAACGTTTGTCTTGGTTTAGGCATAAATCCCCATCTTCTATAGGCAAGCCGAAACCCACACCGCCGCCACGACGATAATTACATTCATCGCACAATCCTTCAATTTAACTAAATAACAGTTTTAATACGAAACCACTGTTTATCTAGTGTCGATAAATATGAAATAATACACGCCGTGTATTACGATATATTTCCGGATTGTAATCACCAGGCAGTCGCATTTCAACAGGCCCGTAGCCAGCACTTTTGAATAGGGGGTTCGAAAACAAAAAAAATATATTTGACGTGAAACGTGTGAATTTTATATTTAAAAAATGTCTATGAGCTCTGTTACAGACATTTTTAAATTATCGTTATTAAATAAAATTGGTTTACTTTGTGTTACGTTGGCAAGTTGTTTCACATAACGTCTTTGAACTATTTTACCATATGATTTTAGAGAAGGGGTTCTGAGCCATTCCCCACCCACAGACAAACGCACCGACACCCTAGATCCACTATGGCAAAATGTTGAAAACAAAAAAGACAAGACTATACGTATCTTAGCATTATTGTCTAAGCATTTTAAGGTAGAATGCTACTCACGATTTTTTTCGCTCTTCGCAGATGTTAGCGCACATAAAAGTGACACGATTTCATGTCGCTATCTGTCTACAATTATTCATTTTAGTATTTAGTAAATTTTGTATTATGTAATTTTATTTTTGTACAGGGCCTCAGCCCATCGTAGAAAATGTAATGAGTAGAAAAGTGCATAGCACGTTTTATAAAAAGACAATACAACATCCATGTAACATATGGTACTAAGTTAAGCTGGATTATT